AATCCATTTTCTGGATAAACTCTGGCACTTTTGTGCCACGAGATCCATTTGAGAATGTTCAGAGCTGCAGTATTTGTAAGGGCAAAATACCAGAAGAGCAGATATGTAAGTTAGAGTAAACTCTTACAATGGAACATCATATAGCTGTGTGAATGAATACATTATTACTATACATGCTTTATAAAACATAATTTTGATCCCATTTATATTAATTTCAAATATAGGTAGAACTAAATGATATGTTATTTGGGGATCTGTCTTTGATTGGTAAAACCGTAAAGAAAAATCAAGGACATTTAGATAACATGCCAGATAACAGTTAGGTTGGGCAAGGTCATTGAGAGGGCAGTTAATGGACAGGATGTTACCTGGTGATGGTATTTTTCTTAATAAATGATGACTACTTTGGGGTTCGTTTTAATATTAGTCTTTGTGTGACACATTTCACAATAAAAAATTTAAAAAGTAAAGGGAGTGCATAGGAGAAGAAAATTGAAATGGAGGCAACTCATCTAGACAAATCTTTGGAAGAGTTTTGCTGTTGAGGGGAGGAAATGAGAAATAAGGCAATAGCTGGAGGAGGGATGTAGATTAAGGAAGGAGGTTTTGCTTTGTTTTATTGTTTAACTGGAGATAGTATGGTGTGTCTTTATGCTGATGGGAATATTCCAACAGAGAAGCGAACTGTATGTTTTAATTCATTCTTTGCAGTTTTAAACTCAGGCAGATATCCTGGCTAAGAAGTAAGATTGTCAGAATAAAAATTTGTCTAGGTTAGAAAAAAATACATTCCATGGCTCTTTTTAATATACTTGCTTGAAGTTTGAGCTCATATAGCTGTTTATTAATCACTGAGGCACTTGTTCATATCTCTGGCAAATGGATACTGTAAATAGTCAACAGAATCTGCCATTTTCTTTCTGCTGAGTTAGTCATTAGTGTGTAAATTTTTCCAAAGTCAATTTTATTTTCGATCGTTTTAGATAGTTACCCAATGAATGGTTTTACTAGAATGGTGATTCTATTTTACATATCATAAGCATGTGCTGTGTTTAGACTTAAAGCATACTCTGAAAAATTGTGCAGTTATGGCAAGTTTTTTTTGCTCAAGAGAATGGGATCCTTTAAGTTGGACAATACCTTTTAAGGAATTGGATTGAATATCTTTAAGTTCCCTTACAATAGTCGATGTTGAGTTTTGTCCTCATGATTTATTTTAGGGGTATCAACCATAGACATGTTGGGGGCTGAAGCAGCATAAAAGTCAAGTAAGTAACAAATTTCTGAGGAGATAAGTTCGGAGTGTCTTCCAGAGGACAACCCCTCCCAGCCTGTACCACCTCCCCTCCCAGGCTGCACCACCTTTAGAAAAACATTCTGGCTAAATGTGGCAACTGTTTTAGCATGCAACCTGAGGTTTTTGTGAGCAAAACTTGAACTTTAAATTCACAATTTTGGGGCTCTATGACTGTAAAGATAAGTTGACACTCATTTGTCTAATTTCTATTAAGAGATACAGTTTTTGCCTAATGATTTACAATTTTAAGCATGGTTTTTGAAAGTTAACATAGCAATTCATAAAGCAGTTTTGAAGCAACAGGCAGAGTTTGAAATGTATTTCTGACAGTTTTGGCTTTTTTCTCTACTTTTGTCTCGTGTTGTTTTGGGCTGGAAGAAGTCAGGCTACCTGATGGGCTTTGGCATGTCTGTTTAGTCAGTTAATCATATCACAAGCACAGACAAAAAGGGAAGAAAATAGAAATAAGATTTGTTATGGTCTGAGGCATTCTGCTAAGACTTGTCTCTTCCTGAGTTGACATATGCTCCCTTGCCTTGAGTCTTTCCTTAAACTGCATTCTGAATTCCAGCTTATAAATCTTTATCCTGTTTTTCAAACCTCATTTCATACTTTTTATGTAATGTAGTGGTCATAGACACTCCCTATGTAGACTTGACAAAAAAATCTGGAGTACCCAGGGGATCTGTTTTTTTTTTTTTTTTTTTGATTTTATTTATTTATTCATGAGAGAGAGAGAGAGGCAGAGGGAGAAGCAGGCTCCCAAGGAGCAGGGAGCCCGACGCGGGACCCGATCCCAGGACTCTGGGACCACGACCTGAGCTGAAGGCAGAAGCTCAACCATCTGAGCCACCTAGGCGCCCAGGGATTTGAAATGAATAATGATTATATTATGATAACGTAGCTGTCCAGGTTCCTGGGCCTTGTGGTAGGATTTCCTTCTTTGGAGAGGGGTGAGCAAGGTGGGTAAAGAAAGAAATACACCATTTTGTAACCTTTAGGAAAGGACAACCTGGAGGGATCTGGGGGGTTAATTTATATATAAAAGTAAGCAAACTGTCCAAGAGAGCCCATTTTCAACCAAAAGTATCACAGAATTTACCTCGAGATCTACCAAAAATTACCAAAGAATTACCTAGAATTACATAAAAAATATTTGACACACTTTTATTTCCTTTCCCTTTCTCAGTATGGATACCCTGCTTTCTCAGAGCATATGGAAGAATTGGAAAATCGTGGAGTTTGAGATTTAAATTGGAGATAGCATGGCATGCTTTTATGCTGACAGGAATCTTCCAGCTGAGAAGGAAACTGTATGTTTTAATTCATTCCTTGTAATATTAGACTCAGGCAGATGTCCTGGCTTCAAAGTAAAATTGTCAGAATGAAAATATTTCTGATTTTAACTCCCCCATCCATTTGAATATGCCTTCCCCTTTCCACTGAAAAGTCTGCTCTTTATTCAGGTTGACAGAAGGCATAGTTTTCTAGTCATGGATCCTCAAACTGGTGGATGTGGATCCATAAGTTATTTTCAAAATTTCATCAATTTGGCATGGTAACCCTGATGATCTCATTCTGATAAAACCAACCAATCCAATTGGGAATGATATAAAATTTAGGTTAAAAAAGGAACAACAAATTGATTTTTAATAGATGCAGACTATTAAGAAAGAAAATATTTCAGACTGTGATCTGTAAAAATCAAGGTTTCAAAGAAGAGTCTTTTGTAGTTGGAAATTTGGTTCTGATTGAGTGTCATATTTCATGTAAGGATGAATCAACTTAGGAATTAGATTGATTCGAGGCATTCCAAAATTGTACATCTCTTTCACTATTGGCATTATTTATCTATCTTTCTTAATTTTCCTTCGAGTGATATTTTGTTGTACATTTAGCTGCTTATGAGGGTCAATTTTTGAAAAATCAGAGAAATTTCTTTACAAAATTAAAATACAAATGTTTCAGCAAAATGCATTTCAAACTGTATTGTGAGTACCAAAACAATGTTACATTGTTATAGAAATTTAAAAAATAATGGAAAAACATAATTCATAAGCTTACCACTTATCTTTTAAAGATTTACATATTTATTTTAGAGAGAGATAGAGAGCGGGGGAAGGGGCAGAGGGAGAGAGAGAATCCTGAATCAGACTTCCCGCTGAGTGCGGAGCCCAACATGGAGCTCCTCATGGGACATGACACGGGGCTTGTCATGGGGGCTCGATTCCAGGTCTCTGAGATCATGACCTGAGCCGAAATCAAGAGCTGGCCCCTCAACAGACTAAGCCACCCGGGTACCCCAAGCTTACCTCTTTAATACAACAAATATGATTAGTGTTTTATGTACTTCATTAGACTTTCTCACATGTATACTTTGTGAAGTGATAGTTAATGAGTAAATACAATTCTGTGATTTTTTTTTTTTGCAGAAAGTAAGGACAGATACAGTATATAAATTCATAGGTTTTTAACTCTTTTAATGAATTCATCATATCCATTGTGTAATATGAAATTATTTTATTTATATTATTGTTAATTCTTAATTATTTATTGTTAGAAACTTAGATGGCTACCCATTTTTCACTTGTGTCTATATATATTCAAATGCACATAGTTGTACTTAGATTTTACTAAAATAATTTAAATTTTGATTGAGTTTTCTAAAGTTTGGTAGATTTAGAGTAAACTCAACTACACTTAACAGACAACACATTACTTATGCTTTTACCACCTTTTTAAAATGACTTAATACCACATTTTTCTGTGTTCATGGAAAAACAAATGAACAATATGTTCGCTCATAGATGCACATACAAACACATCAAATTATGTAGTGATTTTGAGATTGTACCGTCTGACTGTAGATGATACCACAATTTGTTGCCTTTTTTATGTGAATGTGCATGAAAATCAGTATTCATTAACTAAAAAGAAAACTAAACAAATACTTTTTCTTAAGTATCAATAAGAATTTACTTGAAAATAATGTGGTAAGTATATGAAAAGTAGACAAATACTATCTTATTTTCTTTCTTTTGTTTTTTTTAAGATTTTATTTATTTGTTTAACAGAGAGAGACACAGCAAGAGAGGGAACACAAGCAAGGGGGAGTGGGAGAGGGAGAAGCGGGCTTCCGCACAGAGCAGGGAGCCCGATGCGGGGCTCGATCCCAGGACTCCGGGATCATGACCTGAGCCGAAGGCAGACGCTTAACGACTGAGCCACCCAGGCACCCCCACTGTCTTATTTTCTTAAAGAAGACTTTAGATTTCATTGTGTATTTCATACCTAGTAATGATACAGAAGTCACAATACAGAATCCTGGAAAAATTCTAAAACAACAGCGGAATTTTTTACTGATGACATTTTTAAAATCCACACCCCACTTTTTGAAAAGTAAAGCATGAGAAAACAAAACAAAAACACTTCCTTATTTAAAGATATGTTTTCATAATCCTAAGCTGTCTCTTTACGTTTACTCATTTTGTAAAAAAAAAAAATCAGTCATGCAGCAAGCACCTTATTTAAACAATATCAAACATATTCTCTAAACAATATCCGTAAGTTTCAGTGAAGTTTCTGGAAAAGTAACTAAAAGATTGCTAGACACAGTCAAAATTTCTTCAGCTTCTGTATATTTTTCACATGCTCTAAGATGCAGTAAAATTTCTAAAACTACAGAGACAAAAACAGGTCTTACCTATACATTTTGGTCTTGAACAATGAAGAGATCCTCTCTTCTGCCTATCCAACTTCTTTGAGATTTCCACACAAATGAATGACTATCATGCATTATGTGTGATCCTATGAAGGAGCTGAAGACAAAGGAGGAAATCCCACATAATTAAAATCTAACTTGCTAAACAAGTCTGAAGGAACCAACTTGAACCAATAGCATGACTTGTGGAATGAAATCAGAAACAGGGAATTTCACAAATGAGTAAGAATTTTATTTATTCTGGTAAATTGTGACTAAACAGGATAACAGATGATGGCTATTTCATGAAAGCTTGCAACTACTCCACATGCTCTAGAATCATTATTTTTAATTCAAGAGGATGTGAGACTCTTGCCTGTGTTATATTGTCACACACCTCCCTCTTTTCCACAGCAAGCTGAGGATGATCAGAAAATACTTTCCAAGCACTAATGGTACTACTACCTCTGAATTCACCCTTCTCTGTGATAAAATACTGTTCTTCTTGTAGAATATGAAACAGAGATTCAGAGAAGTAATTGAATAAGTGTACAAGTTGTGGCATAAGCAAGCAAAACAGTTGGAACTAAAACTGACCCTGTCTTTTTCCAAATATGTCCTTTGAAAAAAGTATTCTAACTCGCTACTGCTAGCAGATGAGTGGACGGTGGAGTGTAGTAAGAGCATGTGTGGGGTGAGGCTAAGGAGGGGGACGTCGGCAGTGTTTGCAGGCCAGGGTCCACCCCATGAAAACACAAAGGCAAGAATAGCGTGGAAGTGAGAAAAGACATCTCTGTCTCCTGTGTTGGGAAGGAGTAGGAACTATATCTGGAAGGTTGTGCTGAGGTTACTTTGTGAGATATAGTGCCTACTAAAGAACTGGAATGTGTAATTAGATTGGGTACTAAAACTTAAATTTTAGTCTTAGTTTACTCACCAACTACTTGTGTAGCCTAAGAAAAAAAATCACTCACTCCTTTATGAATCTGATTAACCTACTGAGAAAGAAAGCCGAATCAGGTGGTTTTAGAGGACTCTCTTATACTCAAATTCTATGCCTTTATCTTGTAAATCACTGATAGCTAAAGGCTAATGAATTCACTCTAGGACTGCAATTAGGCAAGTGTTCAATTTCTTATACATTTTTTATATAATGTGCACATCAGACAAGAGGCACTGGAAGGAGTGGGCTCCTCTCCATCCTTCCCTTACATATTTTCATTAGATCCTAATATCTCATGCCTGATATTCTGATGGGTTTTTTTTTTAGTAAAAACAATGAAAAAATATTTTTAAAACTTTTGAACAAAATTACCTAAACAAACCATTTTCATTTTGCATGTTAACCTTTAAGTACTTTTAACATATACAAGCTTTTTTCATACAGTTATATCATAGTGTATAACTTTGTATTATGCTTTTTATTCTTAAGGTAATTTTTATAAGCATACCCCTGTGCTATTAAATTTTTATTTCTAGTAGCTGTATATATTATTTTAGTAGCTGTATATGTACCTAATAGTTGTATAAAATGTGCATTATAAGTTTTTAGTTTGATGTCATTTCAAACTTAAAGAAAACTTGCAGATATAGTACATAGATTCATCAATTATTAATAATTTCAGTGGCTGCATTTTAAAGGGTGAATCATCTTGTACTGAATAGATTTATCATAAAACACTGAAAGCATCTCCTAATGTATTTAGATATTTTATTTTTTTTAACTGTAGGTGATTCTTTTTTTTTTAAGATTTTATTTATTTATTTGAGAGAGTGAGATAGAGAGAGAGAGCATGAACAGGGGTATAGGCAGGGGGAGAGGCAGAAGCCTCTCAGGACTCCCCCCTGAGCAAGGAACCCGATGCAGAACTCGATCCCAGGACCCTGGTATTATGACCTGAGCCTAAGGCAGACTCTTAGCCGACTGAGCCACCCAGGTGCCTGGAGTAGGTGATTCTTTCAAGGACCATCTTCACCAATATACTTTTTATTTTTAACTCCACTGCTAAATTTTCCCTTGAAATAAGTGGAAAGGAAAATAATTTATTGGGCCAAATTATATTAATATTTTAATGGCTTTTAAAAATTTACTTTTTAAAAAAATAATTTTTTCAAGGATGTGAAGTATTGTCTTCTGGTGTGTGTTGACAGCACTTTCCCCCAATGATGCATGCTCTTTCTCCTCCATCTTTGTATTTCCTGGAGCACTTAGCAAAGGCCTTTTTTAGTGAGTAGGTACTTAGTCAACACATATTATTTAAATGTCCAGTAATTGAGTGTATTGATGCAGACCCTAGAGCCCTATCACTATTCACAACAGAACTTGGGAGTGAGTCAGAGGAGTGGCATGGGAAAAAAAAAAACTGCATTCAGTCTGAAAGCGACTTCCTGCTTGCCTGTGATGATCTCAACACAGAAAGAGAGGTGGGGCATGAAATTATGGTTTGTGAGGCAAAGGAATTGCTCTTACAGAGACTAGTTCAAAAGATGTTGAGTCTTAACCTTCAGATCCTCAGGGAGTGGCGGGATAGGTCTTGACTTTTTTTTGTTCTTAAGGGGCAGCCATTATAAGAATAAGGAGTATAAGATGACATTATACCAAAAATATCAGAATCTTCTTTTTCCTTGTCATATGCTTGATTTTATTCCTCCAGTTGTGCACTCACAAAACCAAGACAACCCAACTTAGGAGGACTGACATGAACAGGCTTCAGGGAAATAGAAGAGATCATTTATTTTAGTGGAGGATAAATCATGCAGTGTATGAGCCATCAAGATTGGTTCTTTTGCCTGCCTAGGCCGAGGGGGGAGAGATCATGGTAAAGAGACTATCTCCAAATATGCAAATGTATGTTAAAAAAGCCTTGCTTTGACAGAAGTATGAATCATTCATTGGAGCCCGTCATAACAATATGAGCAGAGAAAACAACCAAAAAGCAGATGATCTAAGAAGGTGTGAGCCAATGGTGTCTTCTTTGAATTTGGAGCTTAAATGTTTAGTCATCAGGTTCAGGGTAGCACAGTCATATGGCTATGGTTGGTGATGAATGTGTCATGAGCTCCCTTACAGAATTATTATATGGATAGAAAAAGAAAGATAATGGATGTGCGTACCATTTGAAATGTAAAATGTGTAAAATGTGATTTAAATAGACACGTTTACGTTTATTATAAATGTCAATTTTATTTATTCATTAAAAAATTATTTATTTATTTGACAGAGAGAGAGACAGCAAGAGCAGGAACACAGGCAGGGGGATTGGGAGAGGGAGAAGCAGGCTTCCCACTGAGCAGGGAGCTGGATGCCGGGCTCGATCCCAGGACCCTGGGACCATGACCTGAGCCGAAGGCAGACACTTAATGACTGGAGCCACCCAGGCGCCCAAATGTCAATTTTAAAATCAGGTAATAACTGGATTTTGTTCGTGTGGCCAAATTTAATTTTACATATTACCACTTGTAGGTAGTTAGAAATTAGGGAATAAGTCTGTCCCACCATATTTCAAAGGCTTTTGTCTATTCAGAAGGCATGTTGTAGTGGAAACAGTACACTCTGGAGTTAGAATACACCTAGAATCAAATTGAAGTTGTTCTGCTTCCTACCCAGCAGAGTTCAGAAAAGTTGTTTATGAGCCTCAGTTTTCTTATGTGTACAAATGGAGTTAAAGTATCATTCTCAGAGAGTTGTGAACATTACATTTGGTCAAATCAAATCCAAGGAATGAACAAATGTAAAGCACCTGGCATGTTCAACATGTAATGTAGTCATTCCTTCACCTCCGATGTTCAGGGGAGTATGTGTATGTACTTGTGTAGGGGTCACAGTTGCTTGAGTCATGGAGGGCATGTAGTTCAAAAATGGTCCTGGGTGTTTCTAAAATCCCCACCCACCCAGATTCACACGTGTGATCTTGCTTCTCCAAACCAATCTTATACCTAAAGAGTTTGTTCAAACATTTAAGTAATCCAAAGCTTACTACAACCTGTGATGGCTTTCATGTTGGCGGCCAGTGATTTTTTTGTGCATTCCTCATGTACATTTTTTAAACCAGTTTCTAATAATAGTAAGAGATTAAAGACACATCTTGGTCATGGGTTCCTTTTTATCTTGTTAAAGGAAGTAGTATGTATCATTTACCTCTCTCCTAAGTTCTCCACATCAGTCTCCCTTTGACTGCATAGACTCGTTTTCTCCTATGGAGGGTAATTTCCTGCACATATACACAAATTTGATTCTTGCACTTTTTCTCTACATTCAGAAAAGCAATCAGGGCAAATTAATATAATACATGTTAATACACAATGTAAGTGATCTTATAAACTGAAGGTTCTGGCTGAAAAACCCAATTAGAATTATCCAGTGTATCCACAAAAGGCTCTTAAGTGATTTCTTATTTGGTTAATAACAAGGTAACAGTGTGAATACATGCAAATGTTAGAGGAGTATCTATTTTCAGATTGATCGAATTATCAATTAATGACTGTCGGCCTTACCTGCTTCTTCAGTACTGCCCGGCAACATAACTAGGTTTCTCTGGTCAGTTTCTAGTTTAGTCTTTATAAAAACCATTTCAGATCTTCTCTACTCTTCCCCAAATGTTTATTTTCTATTTTTTATTCCCTGCCCTTGCTTTTAACAGATGACTTATAGTTCTACTGTTGGAGAAAAATATCGACGGTTTCAGATGACGACTCCTTCAACTACTTACCATATCTATATATCTTACGCATCTGCCTATATCCTTCCTATTATAGTGGAAGAGGATTTTGTCTTCCTTTGGGAGGCTAATCTTTTCATTTGTGCTTTGTATTCACATCTCCATCCTTCCTCATCCAAAACCTGTTTCTCCGGTGTTTCCCATCTCTACAAGTCTCCTCCCATTCCCTCAGTTTCTCACACTAGAAATCTGGATATCATTCTTGACTCCGTCTCTTTTCTAGTCTTATGTGCATAAGTATTTATTGAACCTGTTTCTCTTCTGTCTTCAGCCCCAGTGCCCCCACATGACTCCAGGCCACTAGAATCCCTCAGCTGGATTACTGCCACTCTTCTGATTAGCTTCCTGCCTCTAGTCTTTTCCCA